TGACTCTTAGGGCTTGGCTGCACTACTCACGAAATGTGCAAAATTAGAATGAATCTTCTGCAGAACGTTGAATAATACGTGTTTTGTCTTTTGTGCATTGGGTGAGTAGAGGCCCTTAGGGCCACTGCACATATTCCTAAGAAAAGAAAAACGAGAAAAGAAAAGAAAAACGAAAAAGAAAAGGAAAACGAGAGAAGAAAAGAGAAACAAAATAGTGACCCATAACCGAGACGCACAGACCTGAATTCGAATCCAGACTATATATTCTCTGCCCACGCTTACGAAGTACAAGTTTGAATTGTACCTCTGAATGACGTAGGATCCTGGCTAGTATGCTGTAGGGATCCTACTGAAAAGAGGCTGGACCCAACTAGGACAGTTTTGGGGTATGGTGTGGCCCCGGCTTTTCTCCCTCTTCCTTTCTGATTTTCAGAAGCGAGGGGAATGTTTGGCCACCCCACACTGTCCTTTCAACTTTTTCATATATATTTTTTTTAGTGCGCCGCCGCAAGTATGAGAAAAAAAAAAAAAAAAAAAAAAAACAAACCACCTCGTTTTCTGGGCCGTCTGGATCATCAGTGAGGGTGGTAAAAAATAAGGCACTACTTTTTTTGGGCGGCCCAGGGCGTGAACAATTGCCCCCGACCACCGAAAAAAATTTGGCCATTGGGCTAGGGCCCTCACATCCGGACCAAGATCTGGACCCGGACCCCGGACCCCGGACCCTGGACCACGGACGGTCCGGATCCCTGTCCGGTGGTCCGGATCGTAGCCATGGTGAGGAGACATCTATGGATAATTTGCCATTGAAGTGAGGCAAATTTAGCTGGTCTTTCTTTAGGCCCTGGAACCATTTAACGAGTCTCAACAGGGCTGCATCGACATTCAAGTGTCTTGCCCACCTATCCCGGACTACATCTTTACTTTTGGATGTCGTAGTCGGTAAGCGGCTTTAACTGTTAGTGACTGCTGATTACTGGAGTCCATTATGACCCGAACCTGGTATAATGCTGAACAAGGAAATTCTTCCGTGCAATCAGGCCGTATCCTTGCAAGTGTGTGATCTCGGTTAAGGTGGAAAAGCTCGACCAGGACAGTGGACACTCCCTTCTTGAATATAGACTATGTTCCCAATAACCTTTGTCCCATCTGATCGTGGACCTACTACCCAATCCCCCTCCTCAAGCAAAGGTCCCTTCCTTAATCCAACAACCCTGGCCAAGGGTAGCGAATGTATAACCTGATCTAAACTATGATCCAGATGATGCACATAACGTAATTCTGGTTTGAGTTGATCTACAAACTTCCAGTCTTTTTTTAGTTATCCCAAATATCTTTGACCCTTAAGATGCCATTTTTAACCCAAGTGGACCACGGGGATGAGAAACTAATTAAAACACGACCTTCAGAGTCTGTGATCCACTTGTTCCCAAATAGAGGTTGTCACAATATTTCTTCACATCTCCTTGGGAATGGGCAGTTCGGTAATGGAAGATCCCTCCGGGTTTTCAATAAGGAGACCAAGAAATCGTCCAATGCAAGATACCGCTTGACTGCCGCCCAATCCCCACTATCCTCAGCGTGAGGCGTGCCCTAGGGATACTCCAGAATCTGTCCTCAACTCATATCAATGGATTGATTTCCTCCTTTGTTTGAGGAGTCAATTTATGTATCTATTCTAATGCCAGATCATGCCACACGAGGGATTACATGCGGACTCTTATGGTCCCCTGGCCACAAAAACGCAGTCAGTTATCTTTTGATTGTTTTTGTTTCTTGTTTCCCCAGAGATTATATTGCTGATTTATACCAAATAGATGCCCACACCACATGATTTATTAGCAAAACCCTACCAAAGAGTGATGTGTGTTAGTTTTTCCATTTAGATATCTGATCTAAAGCGGGTTTAGCAATCCAGCCATCATTGGTAGCTGGCCTGCCTTGTGCAGGAAGTGAAACTCCTGATATACGTATGGTAGCCTCCAGGGGCATACCAGTGGCTGCTCAAGTGGCCTACCGTCGTCGGAATCGAACCACCATCCTTGAGTCTAATGCTCAAGTGGCCTATCCTCGTTGGAATTGAACCACCATCCTTGAGTCTTACTTCCCCTGAAACCTGTGAACTAGGTGATCTCGTAGTTCTTAGTCTGTAGGGATGTGTGTGTGGGTAAAATAATGTTGTATTGATTTCCCTGCAGCAGAATATCCGCTTGTGTGAGAGAGAGAGTTATTCAAGGATTGATAAGGAATCTTTGAATTCTCAACAAGAGAGAAGTTAAATTCAATGAACTTACTTCTCTGGACTGCCCCTTGTCCCAYAGGGAATTGAGTGAAGTTTTCTCTATGCTAGAAAAAAATTCACCTGTGCCGCCTCTTGTCTTATACCTGTGGGTATTGACTTTAAGATTGAAAAACAGAGTGCGCCATGTAGGGATTGCTTCCTCCAGAATACCCTATTTGCCCTTATATTAGCCCCTAATGCTTCCATAACTATTAGAAAGGGGGCAAGAGGATTGCCTTGGCTGACTGATCTCTGCAGTTTAATCTCGGGGGAAAGAAGTCCATTGATTTGTAATCTAATGGTGGAGTCGTAAATTGAGATGTGCACCCACTGTCTAAATAGTGGGTGAAAATGAAGTGATCCGGTTTCCTGCAGAAAGTGAGTAGGACTGCACGCATCTTATGGTCTGCCCCTGGCCATGGGCTCTGAGGAAAAATGGCTGCCCCTTGTAGGGCCCTGCCCAAATCCTCCGACGTAAGGATTAGATCAATTCTGGATTTGGATTGAGCGGGGGTTCCATTATTACATATGCATGTGAACCAACGTTCTTGTGGAAAGGTTCGGCAAAATGTGTCATAGAGGCATTCTCTTTCACACGGACCGCGGATTATGAGTTTCTCATGGCTACGATCCGGACTCCGGACGTCCAGTCAGGAAGGTCCAGATCTGCAAAAAAGAAAAAAGAAAAAAGAAAAAAGAAAAAAAAGGTCCAGAACCCTTCCCCACTGAGGAGCCAAGCCCCCAAAATTGTTTTGGGGGTTTTTCAGGCCCATTTTTGTTTTTTGGGGGGGTCCGGACATGGTCTATCTCTATAATAATTTATTACTAATACCCAAGTAATGAATTATTAATATTTTGTACTTTTTAAAATTTAAAGTCTTTTTCTAAGTTTTTAATACTTTTTATAGTTTTTTACTTTTAACTCAAGTTTGGTTAGGAATTCGGACATGAGTCTGAGGCAAAAGTGGTTTGCAACTTTGCATTGTTATTCTGCATAAACTATTTTTTCTTCAGATTTTTTATTTTTATGTTTTTTAATGGTCCGGACATTTCCAGACCTTCTCACCAGTCCGGACCGTCCGGAACCATGCATGTCCGGAGGTCCGGATATGTTCGGAAGTTCGGACGTCCGGACCTGACCCGACATGCGTCCAGTCCCTGGACATGAGCTGTCCGGGTCCGGGTCCGGGTCCGGCGTAGCCATGGTTCTTCTATATATGCTGGGCAAGGGGAAGAGATTCATCTGCTGTCCAGCCATTTATCAGGCATTAAAGTGCCCTGCCATGATGACCGGAATCCCTGTAGGAATTTGATCACCAATATTATCGAAGAATTGTTTACATTCCTGGCCATCATTTGAAACGTAAACATTCATGACACAAATTACTTCTAATTCGAGCATTAGTAGTGCAGAAACCCACAGCCCTTGCTCCTGATCCGTGACCCAGTGGATGATTTCCACCCCGGAATCTGGAGGGACCCATATCGCAACTCCAGACGTTCCACTATGAGCAGCATGTGCTCAGTTTTTTTTAAAGGGCCATGCCAGATTGTGCGCACGATTGTGGGTTGGGGATGCAGTGAGATGTGTTTCATGTATGCATATCAGATCGGGCCAAGATATACCCCTCACCCCTCGAAGCTGCTCTATATATTGGAACATCTCTTCTCACCAGCTGCTGTGGCCAACCCATTAACGTTGAGTGATCTGAGATCAAAGTCCGCTGTTTGAGTTGCCTTGTGCCGTGCTGTTTCCCCCCCCTAAAAAGCATACAATGCGTCCATTATAAATAGGCAGCAGTGAAAGGAAGGGGTCTTCTCCTTACTATTTTATAATATTGTATAATAATCTTGTCCAGCTGCAGCTATCTAACACTGAGGGCAACTGCAACAACCCCTTGCGTAACATGGCACACAAGAAAGCAGTCACATCCGTCGCAGACCAGATGGAATTGCCTTAATTTTTTCGAGTCTGCATGGGAAAACCATCAAAGACCCTCTTCCTTTTTTCCTTCAAATCGAACAAAAGTATCCCTTTTGGACATGTTTGCCTGCTGATGCAGGAAAAATCAAATTGCCATCAACCGAAATTCACAACTGTTTCTTGAAATTTCTGCACGGTTGTTAATCGGCTGTGCGAGGCTAATTTGAACAAGGACAGGGGCAAATCTCAAAAGATACCCACAATCGGCCAGCAAAAATTCAAAAACAGAGCCCGTTTCCTGTAATTAGTCAAGGTCCGTACTTCGGGGCTTAGTTCGGGTTTTAGTCCAAAGGGTACGTGAAGCCGCGAGGCACGGAGCTTGGCTTATCACAAGCTGACAGTCAATCCTCCATGATGCTGGAGTAATCAATGCTGGTCAGGGTTCCTTCGGCCAGACGGAAGGAAGCGTGAGTGCTCATGATGTAATACTTTATTCCAACTTGCTGGTGGAATAGGAACTGGACTGACGCTCCCCACGGTGGAATAGGAACCGGACTGATGCTCCCCAGAATGGATATGGAGCCAGGACCATAAACACCTTTTTAAGTTTTTATATTATAAAAAAAAAAGATAAGGACAACTGATGTGGTAGGGGGAGTACTGTTTGTTTTTTGTTCCCTTTTATTTCCAGTAGGGGAGTGCTGTGGTTGAGCCACCAGATGATTGTGTTGTGTGCGCACTTGGTGGTGATGGGGTTGTGTTTTCACCTTTCCACTGCTTCCAGTGCTAAGGTCTCTTCACTCAAATAGAACGCCTGGTCTTTATAGGTGTGTACTTGGTTGAACTTTCAGACGGCATACGACGATAATGACTGGGCAGTCTATTCAGGTGAAGACGGTAGGGCTCCCAAGGATGGGAACATCAACATTTGCAGTACCATTTTCATCGTCAAGCCACTATATGGTTGTGGTTGAGGTTGTGGTTTTGGTTTAGGGTTTAGGGGTGCAGTGAGTACCTTTCCTTTTTTTTTCTATTTCGCTCGGGGGGACTACTGTAGTTGGGGTGTCCTAATGATCCTGTTGTGTGCACTTGGTGGTGGTTGAGTTGTGTTTTGGCCTCTCCAGTAAAGGGGATCCTAGGCAAGGGATCGCGTGCATTTGCAGTACGACTTTCGTCCAGAAGCCGCTATGCGGTTGTGGTTCCTGACTTATTCAGAGGGAATCCCTTTCGGCAGGAGGCAGCAACTGCCACTCTGGTAAGAAGCAGCAAGGGATACAGCTTTCCTTCTCTCTCTCTCTCTCTCTCTCTCCTGTCTCTTATACACATCTAGATGTGTATAAGAGACAGGCGCAGGGGTGGTCTTCGGGTGTACAAAGGGAGA